GTTACTATGTGCAGGCAGCTCAGAAAAAAGAAACTTTGGGAACTTCAGTGGAGCAAATGGCGGAATTCATGAAGCGTGAGCTAACTGTAGGATGTGATGATGACCCAGATGTAAAATGTGGAATCATTGGCGAAATTGGATGTTCCTGGCCTTTGTATGGTCAGTATTATCAATTTTTTTCTCTCTGTTACAGTTTAATAATACACAATGTAAAGAAATTAATTGCTCTTTTATTAATATTTTTTTTGTATACTATTGAGGAGTTTTTCATTACCAGACTTTGAACGACATACTATCCAGGCAGCGGCTCATGTACAAGCATCCACTGGCTGCCCAGTGATGTTTCATCCCGGCCGTGATGATAAGGCGCCAGAAGAGATTTTTCGGGTTTACACAGAAGCTGGTGGTGATGTGAAGAAGATGGTTATGGGTCATCTTGATAGTAATTATCCATTATGTTATATGTCTGTGTGCAATTGCTATTTTAGGTTATGAAATAGATTTTTAACCCATTGCCGCCAGGGAAAATTAACAAAATATTGGGGAAATGCAGTACTCATTTTTTATATTTTTGTGAAATATCTCTGTCCATAGATGGCTCTGCAAGTCCTGATTTCACCTTCCCTTGAATTGGCGGGAAAAAACGTATTTTTACTAGTGCTATAAATATATAATTTTTGACCATAGTTATTTTAAAACCTCAATTTACAATTTTAGTTATCAATTATTAAAATGGAACTCTGTTTTTAAAAGGTCTTTTCACTTTTTCATTGCATTACATTATGTGGTGTAATGACTATACTTATATTGGGTAATTAAAATTGTAATTTTACAAGAAATTTATTTTAGTCATAATCTTTATTGATTTCTCTTTCAGGGACAATACACACTTTAGATAAACTGGTAGAATTTGCATCTCTTGGAAGTTATTGTGAATACGACTTGTTTGGCATTGAAACTTCTCATTACCAGCTCAACACACACATTGACATGCCCTCTGATGCCCAGCGTATCCATCGCATTAAACACCTGTTTGACAATGGCTTTGGAGAGAAGATTTTAGTTGCTCATGATATTCACACAAAGCATCGCCTGGTTAGTAAATGTTACTTTTCAATATTTAGTCATTCGTTTCTCTTGTAGAATAAATGTAACATTTTCTTAATCATTCCAGAGAATACCAGAATGAAAATTCATGTTTACTCTATGCTTTTGCTGAGTAGGATTTACATTAAAGAGTTTCTTCTCAATTATTTCTATTCCTTCACATGTACTATATTATAATTTGAATATATAGTAGGATGGACAGTAAAATTAGTGTTTAAGATGTTCTTAATTCAAGGCTGAACTTAATCTATTATGATTCAGATATACTTTGAAAGCATAGAATGCCTGCACATGAAATTGTGTACTGTATTAACATTTTCGCTGATACGGATGCCATTCAATGTCTGCATATTGTTACACCTAAGTAACATAGATGCTGTTCAACATCTGTAGCATAATTATTGGTGCCAGAACTAAAAGAAATGAGGCTGTAGGGCTTATGACTAACTTCAAATATAAATGCACTTTTCTCAAGAAGATCAATGTAAATATATTTATTGCCTTGATGTTAAGTAATTGTAAGTACACGTACTAAAAGAAGGGTTTAAGAGAGTATCAGTGAAAGGGTTAAAATGTGTAAATTGATACCAGCTTCTGTGAATTGATTTTCAAGTTGGTTCATGATTTGATGATGTATTTCTTTTTTTTTTCAGCAAGCTTATGGTGGTCATGGATTTTGCCACATTTTGGAGAATATTGTACCAAAGATGTTAGACAGAGGATTGACTCAGGAGGATGTGGACAAAATGTTAATCAGCAATCCAGCTACATGGTTAACTTTTACCAAATAGATTTAACAGCTTGCCATGATATTAATAATTCCAGGAATATAGATTTAGCAGGGTGGCATAAAGATAATCTTTAAATTTTGTACTAACATGTTTTTTGGGAATATGGTCTCTTTACTCAGAGTTACCTACGTGGTATTGTATTAACATACACATTATAGAATATACACTTAAATGTATTTTCTTTACCATATATGGTTAAGGAATGTTGAAGATTTATATTTTGAAAAATTATATTGTCCAGATGACTGCTGTTATTTACTGTTTGCAGCATTTTTATAATGTTTTGTTTCTTTGCTGTTTAAAGTTGTTTTTCTGCTTAATCTGCATTATAGCTCAAATATATATTTTATGTATTATTGAACGTTTATAAAATATATGATTTTAAGTGGGTGATTTGTTTTATTTTTATTTTAGCTTTTAAAACCTCACATTTTAGTACATATTTATGGTATACATCAAAAGGCAATATACATTTTATATTTGTGTAAATTACTTGAATGTGACATAGTTTGTTTCTTAATTTGAGTATAAAAGATTTTTTATCACACCTTTTAGATCAGTGGTTCTTAACCTTTTTACTATGCCTTCTGTAGGAATTTCTCGTTCCTTCCACACACCCTTGTATCTATGAATAAAGTTCCTTCCCAGATTTTAAACAAACAAAATTATGTTCTTAGTATTTTTATTTAGCATGAAATAGTTACATTATTATTAAATATCTCATTAACTGACCATTTCACTGAAAGGTTAACAAATATAGACTAATTAGAGTTTGTTTTTTTTTCTTTCCAAAAAAAAATCATGCCCTCTTGGAAATTACTGATGCCCCCCCATGGGGGGGCTTAGGAGATGGGGTCTGGGGCCTTGGTCCTCAGTCCTTGCCTCAGTCCCCTCTATTCCTTTCCCTTTTCTTCATCCCTTTGTTCTGTCCACTTATCCTAATCATTGAACTCATTTTTGCCATTTTTTCCACATTACTTCATCACATAAGACTCCGTACTCCCTAAACTCCTTCCTTTTTTCTAACAACATTTACACTATACCCCATCAGTTCCCCCTCTTTACCTATTTCACTACCATACTACCCTCTACTACTGTTCAACCTGTAACTTTACCATTGTCATTAACTCATTCCTAACCCTTTTCACTACTACATTTACCATAGCACTTCTTTACCTGGGGACTTTGCCACAAAGCCTCACACTATCACTATATTTTGAATATGCCACTAATGATCTCAGATGTTGATGCGGCAGAAAATGTTCAATAAGTAAATGAATTAACTATATTTATGTGAAATGAAATAAAATTTGCATTGCTTGTAGTCTATTCATGGCTGCTTGTTTTAATATTAAATTCTTTAACATTTCGAAGTTTGTTTAAGGGATGTTATTCATTTTCTGATCTATTCTTATTTAAGACCATGTACTTTCTGTGGATTCTTGTTATTCATAGTACATATATATTATTGATTAGTCAGCTGTTATTATTATTATTGTGGAAGAGGCTTTCCTTTTTGCATAAAATATCTTGATGTTCAACTCATCTGTGAGCATCTCTTTATTATCTTTATTATTAGGTGGCAAAGGTTATTTCTTCTGACCACAGACAATACCATCTTTTAGTCCATTTTATGCATAATTTAAACAATATCTTCTTGCAGTGACCTTAGCTGATCCTAAATAAACTTCAGTTCGAACACTGAAAAATAGGGTATAAATTGTTAATGAAATTATTTTCCAATCTGACTAATAAGTTATAAGACCTACAGCCAGCAGAAAGTCTTCTAATTCAACAAAATGAATTTATAAAGCTCCTGTGTGATCTGTTAAGATTTTACAGGATGACATGTATCATTGAAATTACTTAATGGATGAAAGATTTAAAAATTTCATAAAGATGAGCCCCTGAAGCAGGATCATATACTTTATGGTTCCAGCAAAAGGGTTTCATCCCAAATACATTTATACTATATGTTTTCTTTTAATTAGAAGAAAGAGGTGGTCACAAAGGTATTCTGATCAGTTTACACTTATTGTTTTAATGCAGTTACTGCAGTTTATCTTCCACTTTAATATTATCACTTAATTTCTATTACTTATAATTAATTCTGTTGTCATTCCAACTAAATTATTTATTTTTTCAAGCAATTCCTAAACATACAGTTTAAATTAAGCATGGGATTAATTTCCAGTAACTGTTATCCCAACACTTTGCCAGGGGTGGATTTGTAAGAATAATAGATGGAAAACTGAGGCAGTAGATAGGTAGCCACAGACTGGGGAAATTGGGTGAGCTGAGTCCCTGTGCCACAAATAACACAGGCCTTTTAGTGTATCTTTTAATTCTTTTAGTTGGCATTGGCTTAGCATTTTATAACAATTTTTAAAAGAAGTTTATCATTCCTAATAGATTTTAGAATTTAAAACTACAGCTAATTCCCCATAAAAGTTAAAAAATAATAATAATAATATGCAACACTCCATAGTTAATTCTATTCTGTAACAATGGTACACAATCAAGAAAACTCAAGAGATTTCAACAGAAATGCTTTAATGGGTTAATGACAAACAAATAGGCAAACTAATTATGTAATTCTATTGCTAAGAAAATGCAAGATGTAGAGAAATGGAAATGGAAGTTAAATAGAAGACATCTGTTTCCATAATGACCATCCATTTAAAAAGACATTTATTAATAAAAGAAAAATGGAAAGGAGAAACTAAGATACACATTAGAAGAGGGATTATTTTATAATATTTTTTGTTGATATTCCTGACACAGACCAATTAGAATATTTTTCTTTCTTTGCTTTGCTTTGGGCAAGGAGGTTAGGCATAGTTCACCCTACCCCCAGTTCAGTTCATTTCAGTGAGATTGACGAAAAGTAGCATGTCCCTGCATTACTTATGTGGTGGCCAACATGTTTCAGCTATTTAGAGCTGTCTTAACTGATTCATCATCACTGAATGCTTACCATGGTGATTGGAATGCCTGTAGGCGGTCCAGCCTCTACAGGGGAAGCAACAGGCATAGTCCTCTCACCAGCGGCTGTGAGGAGTGGGCCCTGTCTTTGGAAGGAGTGTGCTCACGCTCCTATACTTAGTAGACTGGGTGGTATCCAGTGCTTGCAACAATGGGCGTCATTTCAGCTTTTTCTTGAGGCACTTTTAAGGGTTAAATGGACTTATATAGGTGTAATTTGCTTTAAAAAGATTAAATATGTGATCTTTGGTAGGCAAGTCAGACCTTCAAGAGGCATACATAATCTTGGGGGGGGGGAGCAATTGCCCTCAGCCCCTACCCCCAAATGACGCCCCTGCTTGCAACATTGGCTTGAATTGTCAATGTTGTCGATAATCCGCCTTACACAGTGGTTGCATAGTCTTATTCTGCGGAAAATGAGTCCGGCACCAAATTATTGTCGCAGGGAGTACCAGTGACTCACAGTTTATGGCATCTGAGTACCGCCTGGTCGAGGGGGATGGTACGTTTCTCTGTAGTGACAAGACAGAGGCCTGCCCAACCGCTCTTGTTATAAACCTGTAATGTTCCCCTCTACTTCTGCCTCTTTTCTTGTAACCTCATAATTGAAGACTTCTATCAAGTTCTGTGCCCATGGCGGGCGTTCAACAGAGTCGGGGTTGGGGGTAGTCCATGCCCTTTTGAGCTGATAATGTATCATCACATTGGCTGTACGGGAGAGACAGGAGTTACTTGCAAAGAGTGCGTAATCTAACTCCAGATGCCAAGGTACTTTCTGTTTAAGATATGTGCCCTAGC